TTTAGAAATAAAAAAATATTAAAAAAATAATTCGAGGATTAAAGAGATTCAAAATTTAGAGTTTAAATACTGAAAATGACATTTAATCCCGTCACCTATTTTCAAACCAAGAAAATGACATTTAACCAAAAAAAAAGGGAAATTTGAGGACGGACATTTAACTCAATTACTTATGGCTTTGAAGTACACTTTAAATATTGAAAATTTAGAGTTTAAATATTAAAAATGACATTTAACTCAATTACTGATGGTTTAGAAGTAAACTTTAAATGTTAAATTTATTGATAAATAAGTATAATTTTATAAATTAAATTTAATATTTAAGTTTTTAAATTAACACTAAAAAAATTAATTTTTTTAAATGAACTGTTTTGATGTGAATAGTTTGCTTTTAAGATTATTAAAAAAAACTGTTATAAGAGTACTTAATTAAAAGTTAGTTCAAGAGCACTATGATTAAAAAAAAAAAAAAAAGCTAATGGCTTAGGAGAGAACCATTTGGAGAGGACGGGTTTGGACTTTGGAGGGATTTCACATGTGCATTCAAGAACCCCACATTATATTTTAAGAACTATAGTTCGGTTATGAATCACTTTTACCATCTTTTAGCCAGAGCAGGTCCGGACTAAAAACAATAAATATCGCCCTTTTACCCGACAGGTATTACGTACATCTAAAATTTTCTTTTAACAGAGGTGAAAATGAGGCAGATACAGACAAGAAGGTGCTAACGTGAAAATCACGGGAGCTAGGAAAATGGCATCGGAAATAGGCCGAGGGGGCACAACAGAGGGAAGGGTTTGTGCATTCGAAAAGTTTGTACATCGGAAACCGACGAGCTACCATTAACAGCATATGAACCAAAAACAAAACTTCTCTTGCTATCGTGTAATGATTACATCCACCTGTGTCTCTGCCAAGAACACACGCGCGACGTACGCTGCATCCCCCCTCTTTGATTTCCACCCATTCCTCTCCTACCATGCCAGTTGCCACCCACTCTCCCATTTATTATTACTGCCGAACCAGCAAGCTCATTTGATTAACTAAAAGGTAAGATCTTATCTTAAACCCTTGAACTAACTTTATTTTTGTATATAAGTCTCTAAACTATTTTTGAAACAAAAATGAGCCAAAAAACCTAGAGTTAATGGAGCCTTATATGTGAGGTTAACGTCTAACACCCTATATGGCTCTATGCTAGCATAGCACCTGCTTTCTACATGATCAATCATACTAATTATATGAAAATCAAATAAGTGTATTAAAAGTTAGTAATTATATTTCTTACTCTATCTATTTTGTCATCCATGTCAGGGGCTTAATGTTGATGTAGAAAGTAAGTTTCATGTAAGTAGGAGGATATGGCAGACATTAACCTTGTATGTGGACCTCCATTAACTTTGAGTTTTAATTTATCAAGGAGTTTACTTTCATAAAAATTAATTTAGGGGCTTATATGCAAAAGTATAGTTAATTTAGGAGCTGAAGATAAGGTTTTGCCTTTAATTTAAGGGTTTGTTGGTTGGTTCCAAGGGCAGGCTAAGATTGTGAAAATATATTCTTTTTTATTAATTTACATAAAAATTTATATTTATTTTAATATTATTGATACATTAATGATTTTAATTAATTAATTATATAAAAAAATATATTAATTATATTATTTAACCTATACACTTTTAGAGTACATACTAGAAATTACAAGCCTTAGGTTAATTAGTTATGCCGTATTGCTTTACTCTCCCACGTAGATTCATAAATGCCATCATGAACATATAGTCAACTGTCATAGAAAGATGGCATACTTTGATGTGCTTATAATTTGCAATAATGATATTAATCATGAAGAATCAAAAATTTTTTTTATTGAAGATATTTTTTTTTTCACAGGTGTTGGTTACTAGTAGTGTAGTGTTCGTAAATAATTGTCATTTTTTTTTTTTACTTTTTTACATACTATAAGAAAATTTTATGTATTTATCTATGTTATATTTAAGAAAAAAATTAAAATAAATAGAAAATTATAGCAATAGGATAGATAATTAAATTAAGGAATTTGTCTATCATATACCTTAAAGGTATATGATAATAGTATGTGTATTTATTACACTTTTTGTTATTAATCATGTATTAATTTACATAGAAAAATAAAAAAATTAATATTAATTTTAACATCTATGACATATGAATATTTTTTATTAAA